AAAAACTCCCCCTCGTATGAGGGTCGAAAGAGGCTGGCCGGGCGGAACGCGCATCTCGAACATATGGTTCATCATCATCGTGATCCAGGAAACGAATGATATTCTTGCACTTCAGGCAGCGCTTGGACCCTCCAGAACCTGATATGGGATAGAACGCCTTGCGCGCCGCCACGCCCTGAACGACGCAGAGCAGAGACGTCTTGACAACCACCCGCCTCCAAGTCGTCCCCACGGGCAGGCGCGCGCCGTCTTTGAAGTTGCACCCAGCAATAAAAAACTGACGCATGAAATGTTTCGCTATCAGCGCCGGGCCGTCTTGCACGCTGCATTGAACTGTATATGGGATGGCGCGACAGCACAGCCAACCGCAACTTCTCGAGCGAAACCATTCGGGCCACCACGCGCATGTCCAGTAGACCATCACGACTTTAGTTTTGGGATCAGGCGCTAGCGGGTTGCCCGTGGTAGCGTCGTCTGTGTAGATGATAATCCCATCTGGAGTGGCCGTGCGATTCTTCCAACCATTGTAAGACGTCTCAAACATGTGTGCGAAAAGAGAGTACGTGTCCATGAGGTGATACAAACATGCGCATGGGTTGTAGAATGCGGCTTCGAAGGTAGCGCCACCTTCTAACGGTAAGTCGAGCTTTCTAATATTACCCACAGGCGTCCACGCGTCCACAGAGATTGCCACGCTCTGAGTCAACTGATGTAGTTCTGCTCGCGCACTTCGGCCACGGACTCGAGATGCTGATTCAGCGATCCCTGACCAGGATGACCGAGGGTTCAATCGCTGCCTTTTCGGCGGCGGTTGCATGTCTGGGAAAAAAAACTGCGCGGCCGGGGCTGAGCGTCCGACCGGCGAGCCTGGTCGAACAAAAATTATCGGGCCACAGCGGGCTGCGGGCGGCGCCCATTGACAACGCATGAGCGGGGGGGAGGGGAAGGAGGAGGAGGAGGAGGAGGAGGAGGAGGAGGAGGAGGAGGAGGAGGAGGAGGAAGGTGCATGAGGAGGGGCGATTCGAGGCATGGGGGAAGAGGAGGAGGAGGAGGAGAAGGAACGAAACTGAAAATGTGAGAGCGCCTCTCTTCTCTGCGAGTAAAACGCGGCGACTCCGAGCCGGTCCAGATGTCGATGCGAAGAGACTGCCAGGCATTCCGAGCTGGTCAAAAATTGAAGCACTCCCGCACGCCTCTCGAAAGGCTTACCGCAGTCGCCCGTCGGGGGTCCGCGTCTTGCACGCGAGCCACCGAGTCGGGCGAGATCCGCGCCCACTCGTGAACACTCCCGAGGCCGAGCTATTCAGAAGTCGTCGTTGGCAGAGTCCATGATCCCCTGGACCTGGGTGGCCAAGGCGTCCGCGCGCTGGCGCAGCTCCGATGCCGCGGCCGGCAAGTTCGTGACCTCGCTCTTCTTGGCTTTGTCGTCCTGACCCTTCGCCTTCCACGCGTTGTTGAGCGCCTGGAGCTCAGCGAGCGCGGCGTTGAGCCTCGGGGTGAAGAAGGGGGGCGCGACCTGCGCCATGCCAGGGGCCGAGATGGTTGCGATCTTCCCCTGCGCGTCCAAGATGGCCTGCTCGAGCTTTTGGACCGCCACCGCAATCTTCTTCGCGCCAGGCCTCCCGATCTTGACCTCGGGCTCGTTAGCGCCCGCGCCTCCTTCTTGGGGTTCTGGCTCCTGCTTCTGCTTCTTGGCCTTGATCGTCTGCGAGCCCTCGGCCTTCCTCTTCTGCGTCTCCTCGGTGATGTCCTGCTGCTCCTGGTCCAGGCTGCATGTCGGGATCCTGATCATTTTCACCTCTCTGATGGGGCGCGTCATTCTCTGACCATTCTTCGGGGTAGCCGCCAGGACTGCAGGGCGGTTATTGTAGGTCTCCTTGACCTCTGCGACCTCCGTGAATGGGCCCTGGTGGGGAGACAGGAAGGGCGGATAAACGCGCGGGACGCGAGCCCAAGGAGGATGGAGCACGCAGCCCTCGGAGGCCCCCCAGGCGAAACTAAACAGGCGCCGAAGTTCGAAGGCGTCGAGCTCCCCGTGGCCCCTCCTCCCGCCCGGCCGCCTGCCCCACTTCCAGCTCAACCCTCTGATTTACATATCTTGGGCAGGGGGGGGGGGGGGCTTCAAACGACCCTGTCCTTGATGCTCATGGCGTTGATGAGGCGCTGGGTCTTGACCGTCTCGAGCTCCTCCGCAAGCAGTTTCTGCAGCGCGGTGCCGAAGAGGCCAGCGGCATCCCTCCTGAACTTTACGCGGGACTCGGCGTCCAGCATGTTCGCGTTGCCCCCCGTGCCCGCGAGAGCGCGGTTGCAGCGACTCCTGAGGGCGTTGCGCACCTTGCACCTCCACGCGTTGGCCCGCGGCTGGGTGCGCAGGTCCATCGCCGCACCCAGCTTCCAGTCGAAGCACTTCGCCACGCTGCTTGGCTGAGCTTCCCTCTCGGAAGGCATCGCTGCCATTGCCTTTGCAGCCGCGGCCTCCTGCCCGTTGGCCTTGGGGGCCATCTCTAGCAGGGTCGGAAGACAAGAGTGGCGACAGGAGCGGATGGGTGTTGGCGGGCACTGCGCGCGCGCAAATGGGGCGACCATCTTGCACGCCCGAACCGCGCGCCCCATTGCGTCGCGACGCAGTGCGCGCCACCCGCGCGCCCTTGCCACCGCTCCCCATTAAAGCTGGACAGCAGGCAGGAGTTGAGCTTTCGACCGGCGAGCCTGGTCGAAGCAGGACACTCGGGCCAACGCGGGCTGCGAACGGCACCGATTGACAAGAGCAACAAGGATGATGGTGATGATGATGAGGAGGAGGAAGTAGGACAAGAATTATTGACGCTTCGCGTATCACCACCAATTATTAGCCGCGGCCCGACTAGTGTTCGGACGGCTTTTCGGCCCGCCTCGCGAGCCTGTTGACGCAAAAAAGTACCCCCACCAGCCCATCCAGAAACGACGCCCAAGCGAGTTGAGGTGATCAAGGAAGTGCGGGAGCAAAGATGGGGATTAAGAGGAGGAGGACGATAAGGCAGATAGAAGAGGGAGGAAAGGGAGGTCGAGGGATCAGGGAAGTGGATAACAAATGGGATTTCCGGCCCACTAATTCATGACAGCGACGTGCGTTGATGCAGATCCATAAGCACGAACGTATGGGAACATACAATTCGAACGTACAAAAATGCAATGTTCAAATTATGTTGGAATCTGCCACTTTTTGAACAACTCGCTTTGGGCAGAAAACATTCTAATTCATGTGGAAGAATTGCATCCCGTACTGCTCGCCAGCAGCTCCTTGTCATGGGCCAAGGGCTTCTCGGGTGCCTCGGGGATCCCCTTGAGGCTTCTTGGGGGGGTCCCTTGAGAGCTTATTGGAGGTATCTTGGGACAGTCTGGGCGCCTCCTGGGGCCCTCTCGGGAGCTTCAGGGGCGCTCTTGGGGCCAACTTGGAGGAGATCGATCAACGAATGGGGGGTTCCCCAATTAGGGTCCCCCCATCGGGAGCTCCTGAAATCGCCTCCTGGACCCCGCTTGGGGCGCTCTTGTGGCGCTCCTGGAGCGCTCTTGGGGCCATCGTGGGGCTCTCTCTGGCCCCTCTTGGGGCCCTCTTGGGGCATCTTGGGGGGCATCTTGAAGCCTCAGATGGCCATCGGAAGCGAAAAAACGACAAGGCAAACATCATTGGTTTTGTTTAGGTGTTTGTAGGGTTTGGCCTTTGTGAGGCCGCCTTGGGGAGTTTCTTTGCCTCCTGGATCCGTCTTGGGGCGGTCGCGAGGCCTCTCGGGGCATCTTCGGAGGGGGCAAATAAGGACGTGTATTCGCGCCCCCGCGGCGCCCCCCCGCCCGAGGGCTTGCCCCTCCGCGGGGCTCCAAGGGGCCTCGCGCGGGCTCTGGGGCCCATTGCGCGCGCGCAGCTATCTTCGCGCTCCAGGCGCCGCCGCTCTACCTTGTATCGCTATGTAGTGTTATGCCTCACCCCCGGCAAAGCTGTCTTGCAACGCTCCGAATTGCATTCGCATGCACTTGCATGGCGGCGCCCGCAGCAAGCCGCAAGTCCAAGTAAGCAGCGCCCGCAGCGCACGAGCAGCACGGATATAGGCCGAACTGCTATTCAATAATCTTCAAAAAACACGAGCGTCGGCCCGCGGCTGGCCGAAGCGGAGGAGCTTACAGGGCGACCACGTAAGAACCAGCCAACCCGTGCGTCCAGGTTTCTCGCAGGTACCTGAATCGGCGCAGAACCCTCCTGGAGCCAGACGTGATCGCAACCTTCTTCCGACGTTTTTTTTTCATCCTGCGGCTGTGGCACATGTGGAACCTGACGCTTTGACAAGACGTACTCCGCGCGCGTGGCCTCGTCCTTGTGCGGATTGATGGTGCACGCGCGATGGTAGATAGTGTCGACATCCAGCACGCCCTGCTCGCCCATGTTGCCCTGGCCGGGCGGCGCGCCACTCGAAGAGGCACCTGCGTTGTCATTGGGGCACCAGGTGCCAGGAGCAAACCTCGAAGTCGCCAAACGGTCATAAGGAATATCAACTTTGAAGGGTTCTGAGCTCACATATCCTTCATCAGGTCGTTCAACTCTTAGCGGTCGCGCCCTCGAATCCCCGTCAGCTGCTAGATCAACATGGAGCGGCTGTGAGTCCGCATCTCCGTCAGCAGGCTGTTGAACATGAGGGCTTAAGCTCCGACCTCCGCGGCGCGGCGCAGGGGCCCGACGGGCGACGGGCGAGAGGGGCGCTGGCCCAGGCTGCTTCCTGCGCCCGCCGCTGGAGCCGTGCAAATAGATGTACATGCGCGCCATCCTGTGCGCCTCCTCCACCTTGCTGGCCGGGCCAACCACAGTCAAGTAACGGGTGCCATCGTCAGTTCTTGGGCGACCCCGCGCGGGCACCTTGCAGCCCGTGGCCTCCATGATGGCATCTACATCTTCGGCCGTCACTGTGCCCTGAATCTCCACGGGCCCGAGTTTGGCTGCGGGTGGCTCCTCGGGAACAGCCGACATCCTCGAGCCTAAACGGTGGCGGGCGGTAACAATTCAAGCCGACGGCGAGCCTGTCGGCAACGCAACGCAAATCGAGCCGACGGCGAGCTTGTCGGATACAGCTCCCCAGGGCCCACTCCACAATGCATCTGAAAAAAGTGCTGTTCAGACTCTGGGGCGCCCCCAGACTCTGGGGGTTGGGGGTTGCTCCGACTTTGTCTCTCGTTGTCCGACTGCGTCTCCTCGCTCATGCCCCATGCCTCCTTCTCCTGGTCCTCCTCCCTGTTTCTCTTCCTACTCCCTCTTCGCCTGCTTTTCCCAGTCCTTTTCTTCCTATTCCTCCTTTTCCTCCTCCCCCTCCTCCTCCTCGCCCCCAGTGCGCCCAGGAGGCTTTCAAGATGGCCCCATGACGGCCCAGGAGGCCCCAAAGACGGCCCCAAGAGGCCTCTAAGACGCCCAATATGGCCTCCAAGACGGCCCTGAAGCGCCTCAAGAGGACCCCACATCGGTTCAGAGAGGCCCCCAAGACGGCTTCCGACGGCGTCAGACCCATCAGACGGGCTAGGAACGATTTAGGACTGCCAAGGAGAGGCCCCCAAGACGCCCCCACGGCCCCCAAGAGGCCTAAGGAGGCTTCCAAGAGGCTTCCGAGAGGCCCCCCGGGAAGCCCCCAGGAGGCCCCACAAGAGTGCCCCAAGAGGCTCCCAAGAGGCTCCTCCTCCTCCTCCTCCTCCTTCTCCTCCTCCTTGTCATCCTCTTCCTCCCTCTCCTGATCCTCCCCCTCAGCCTCCCCCAAGCGTTCCCCGAAGAGTTTCCGGAGCGGCTGGGGGAATACATAATCAGATAGCTTGGCCAAGCTGGGGCCCAACGTTTGGCCACATAGGCGCTTCTCAAAAAGGCTGGGGGCGGCGGTGATTCGCCGTAGGCGTCTTGGATCCGCCGCCCCCTGTGCTTGCCACAGGGTTGGACGGCGTGCCAGACATTTTGCTGAGATTCTGATTTTCAAACCCTTCCCAGTGGCCTTCGGCCCAGACCGCGTGCCCCTCGAAAGGACCAGAAGGTGTGGCCCACATCGCCACCAAGACGGCCCAAACGGCCCAATATGGTCACCAAGATGCCTCCAAGGCGGCTAGAATCGCTCCAAGAGAGCCCAAGACGGCTCCAATATGTCTCCAAGACGGCCCAAGATGCACCCGAGGCGTCCAAGATGGCCCCAAGATGGCCCAGGACGGCCCCAAAGGCCCCCAGGAGGCTTTTAATGCAATACAAGAAGCCTCCGAAGGGATCTGCAGGAAGGCCCGAAGAGCCCAAGACAGCTGATTTCCCGTGGGCTCTTGATGGATTTTGACGTTTTCGGCCTGCCGACGGCCCAGTGCCGCCGAAGAGACCCCCAAGATGGCCCCAAGAGCGCCCAAGAGGCCTCCAAGACGGCCCCATGACGGCCTCCAGACGGTCCAAGAGGCCCCCAAGGCGCCTCCAAGACGGCCCACGAGAATTCCAAGGCGCCCACGATGGCCTTCAAGACGGCTCCAAAACGTCCAAGATGGCAACGATACGATTCGACATAGCCCCAGGATGTCCCAAGACAGCCACAGAGGGCCCCAAGGGCCCCAAGGGGATGCAAGGGGCCTCCTAGACAGTCTAGGAAGTCTTCAAGAGGACCTCCAGGAGAGCCCGAAATGCCCAAATGGTTGTATTTATTCCCTTCAATTGTTGAATAATTTGGGCGCGTTTTCTTTTTCGGCTGTCCGACGGCCCAAGATGTCCACAAGATGGTCCCAAGACGGCCCAAGCTGACTTCAAGATGGCCCCAAAAGGGCCCCAAAGGGCGAGGAAACAGTCCAAGAGGAAGAGCAAGAGGAAAGGACGGAATCAGAGGCCCGAAGCGGCTCCGAGAAGCCTGCAGCTCAGCGCGGGCTCGTCTGCGGACGCCCTTGCCCCCCCCCAGGAAAAACATATCACCCCGAGGCCCGGTGATGTTTTGCGGGGCCGCCATCTCAAAGCCCCACGGCCAGCTTTTGGGTCGGGGAGGAGGAGGGGCAGGAGGACGAGGAGGTGATCAACAGGAACCAGAGGAGCAGGAGCAGCAGGAGGACGAAGAGTTTGAGCAAGGGGTCAAGGACGGAATGATAGGCCAGAAGCGGCTCCGAGACCAAACCGCGCTGAGCTGCAGGGTTCTCGGAGCCGCTTAAGGCCTCTCATTTCGTCCTTGTCCCCCTGCTCAACCTCCACGTCCTCCTGCTCCTGATTCTCCTGGTTTTGCTCCTCTTCTTCCTCGACCCAAGAGCCGGCCGTGGGGCCTTGAAAGGGCGGGCCGAAAAAATGCCACCGGGGGCCGAGCTGCAGGCTTCTCGGAGCCGATGCGGCCAAAAAGAGGCTGCCCTGCAGGCTGTCTCGGAGCCGCTGCGCCAAAAGAAGGACACCTTGTCGGTTTAACTACTAGGTCGCTTTGTCGGCTGATTTCGGGCGCGTCGTCATCGTGGTCGTCGTTGTCATCGTCGTCGTCGTGGTCGTCGTCGTCACCACCATCGTCGTCGTCGTCGTCGTCGTCGTCGTCGTTGTCGTCGTCGTCGTCGTCGTCATCGTCGTCGTCGTTGTCGTTGTCGTCGCCGTCCATAAGATGGCCCCGAGAGGGCCCTAAGAGGGCCCCAAGAGAGCCCCATGAGGGCTCCGAGAGGGCCCCAAGAGGGCCCCAGGAGTTGTGCAACGACCCAGCGGCCGCTGGTACATAACTCCTGGGGCCCTCTTGGGGCCCTCTGAGGGCCCTCTTGGAGCCCTCCTGGGCCCCTGGTTGGCCCATGAGAGGGCTCCAAGAGGGCCCTAAGAGGGCCCCAAGAGGGCCCCAAAAGGGCCCCAAGAGGGCCCCAAGAGGGCGCCAAGAGGGCCCCAAGAAGGCCCCAGGAATTATGTACCAATCCAGCGGCCGCTGGCACAGAACTCCTGAACCATCTTGGGACCCTCTGAGGGCCCTCTCGGAGCCCTCTCGGACCCCTGGTTGGCCCTGTAGGGCCCCAAGAGGGCCCCAAGAGGGCCCCAAGAGGGCCCCAAGAGGGCGCCAAGAGGGCTCCAAGAAGGCCCCAGGAATTATGTACCAACCCAGCGGCCGGTGGTACAGAACTCCTGGGGCTCCTCCTCCTCCTCCTCGGCGACGACGACGACGAGGAGGTGTAAACGCACCCTTACCCAGCCCCTGCAGGACCAGGCAGCGATACTTGGACCAAATTTCCTGGCCCCTGTTTCGACCCCAGAGCTCTCGACCCCGTCCAGGAGCTCCCGACCCCAACCCGGAGCTTTCGGCCCCATCCTGGAGCTCTCGACCCGCAGACGACGGACGACGACGACGACGACGACGCCTCGACCTGGAGTGGTAAGTTTTGCTGCTGCTTTTCCCCAGGGGTTTGGAGCCCTCGGGGCCCAGGGGGGCCCCGAAACGGATCCGAAGCCTCAAATTTTTCCGGCCCGCGACCGACGACCGGCGACAACGACGACGACGACGACGACGACGGGCATAAATTATTTGGCGCCCCCCCTTGGGAGCATCGGGTAACTGGGGGGTGCGCTCCACACCCCCCACTTACCCGGTGTCCCCCAGGGGACATCGGGCAACTCGACCTTGCATGGGGGGGGTGTTAGGCACGGGTTACCCGGTGGCGAGGGGGGGGCATCGGGCAACTCGACTTTGCACGGGGGGGAGTCGGGCATGAGTTACCCGGTGTCCCCTGGGGGACATCGGGTAAGCGGGGGGTGCGCTCCACACCCCCCATTTACCCGGTGTCCCCCGAGGGGCGTCGAGTAAGTCGACCTTGCAAAGGGCGCATTCGGCATTATTGGGTAAACCGGTGGACCCCCATGGGACATCGGAGTTACCCGGTGGTCCCCGTGGGACATCGGCCCGTGGGACATCGGAGTTACCCGGTGTCCCCCGGGGGACATCGGGCAACTCGACATTGCAAAGGGGGTCTGGGCATGGTTACCCGGTGGCCTCCCGTGGGACATCGGAGTTACCCGGTGTCCCCCGTGGGACATCGGAGTGACCCGGTGGTCCCCGTGGGACATCGGCCCGTGGGACATCGGAGTGAACCGGTGTCCCCCGTGGGACCCTGTGGTCCGGAATGCTTGTGTTTCAAGGATCATGTATATCATGATTCGTGCAGCTTGTTTTTCAAGCATCAGTGCTGTAGTAAAAAATGCAAATGCTAACGGTGTGATTATATGTGTATAAATCAACGTGATGCCCACACGATATGCATGCCAACGTGATGCCTACATGGTTTGTTGTACAATCACATGATATGCCTGTATGCTCACATGATATGTATGCCAACGTTATGTCCATCATATGTTTTCTTCGATTGCCTTACACAGTCACTCCAGGAGTTGGTCGATTCAGAGCTTGAAGCGTTAGCCAATCATACCTTCAAGCCGATCGTGATCTGGAGCCTCTGGAGCCTCTGGAGCCCCTGGAGCATCTGGAGCCTCTGGAGCCTTTGGAGCCTCTGGAGCTGTTTAGCCTCTGGAGCCCCTGGAGCGTAATTAGGGCCAGCTGTTTATGGGGCCTCTGGAGCCTCGGAGTTTAGGGGCCTCGTTGGTGCCTTTGTGTTATACCAAGAAGAGTTGTTAAGTTTTCTTCCTCAGAGTCTTGGATCCCACAGGTCTCTGTAGCCCGAGCGCTCGGGCATATCCAGCACATAAAACACATATGGCGATGGCCGGTGACTGGCGAGCGCGGCAGGGCTCTCAAAGTAAAGAAGTGTGCTCCTCGCGCACGAAAAACTCGTCGCGAGGATTGCGCCAGTGGCGAAGTGGGTTCGGCCGAACCCAAACTGCAGATGGCCATATGAGCCTTGAAACACCACGCATTTAATCACTGCCAGCATCGGACTCCTCTTTTGGGGCTCCGTTCTGCGCGCCATCGCGCGTCGCCTGAGACTGGCCGCTCAACTCACGAACCGCAGCAGACAGCGCCAGCACAAGCTTCTGAAGACCTTCCACCGCAGTGGTTAGATTCCTTATCTCCGTTTTGATCTC